TTGCTGTCAGTGTCAGAGCCAGGCTCGTCCAGCAGGTCATCGCGGTCACTGTCCTGCCAGCGCCTCCCCAGCTGAAACACACACAGCATCACTGCCTGTGTGTGCGCGTGTGATTGTCTGTGCGTGTGTCCCTGTGTAGTGTGTTTGTGTGTCTCTGTGTAGTGTGTTTGTGCCTGTGATTGTCTGTGCGTGTGTCTCTGTGTAGTGTGTTTGTGTGCCTGTGATTGTCTGTGCGTGTGTCTCTGTGTAGTGTGTTTGTGTGTGTCTGTGTAGTGTGTTTGTGCCTGTGATTGTCTGTGCGTGTGTCTCTGTGTAGTGTGTTTGTGTGTCTCTGTGTAGTGTGTTTGTGCCTGTGATTATCTGTGCGTGTGTCTCTGTGTAGTGTGTTTGTGTGTGCCTGTGTAGTGTGTTTGTGCCTGTGATTGTCTGTGCGTGTCTCTGTGTAGTGTGTTTGTGTGTGTGATTGTCTGTGTGTGACACGTCTCTGTGTGCAAGTGTGTTTGTGCCTGTGATTGTCCATGTGTGTGTTCATCTGTGTGTATGTATGTCTTTGTGTGTGTACGTGTGCGTGCGTATCTGTATGTATGAGTGTGTCAGTGTATGAGTGTGTGCATGTCCGTGTTTGTAAGTGTGCATCTGTGTGTGTGTGTGTGTGATTCAGGACATGCCTCTGTCTCAGAGCAGTAGCCCTGAGGCAACCTAAACAACACCAGACCTCTCCCTCCCTCTCCACTGCAGAGATAAAACTGTCAGCTTCTCTCTCAGGAAGCATGTTCTCTTGACGGTCGACCCTAATCCCACATTAGGCCATCATACAGGCCATCGCAGTGTTGACCCGTTCAAGCAAGGCTTATAGAAATGAGCTACCAGCAGGCTCTGCTGGTGATGTAGGTAAGACACTTGTTCCAGTAACTCAGGGATCATGCACATCATGAAACCCTCAATGGTCAGTCTACAGCCTCCCAGGACCACAGCAAGGAACAGAGGCTCTGTCCATTCTGCATGGCTGGACAGAAACTCACACACAACCAACAATTCTAGATCCTGTTTTTAAGCGGGCTGCAAGAATCACATTGAATTCCAGTAAAGATCTACAGCACTGCACTCCCTCAGACTTCAAGGGAGTGTCCAGGTAACAGGAATTGAGTACCGCCACCAGCTGCCCAGATGTCCAAGGCAGTAGGAACTCAGAAGGGCTGGCACAGGACAGGCATGATTCTGTCCCAGTGATTGATTACTGATTATTGATTAGTGCTGCTGTCTACAACATACCGATAGCTGAAATAGCGTCCACTCCATCATGCTGCCTCACCTCTGAACTTCTCAAAGAGATTTTCTTTGTTTCTTACAGTACCTTGTTGTAAGTATTATTGTGTATTGTTACTATAGATCCTTATTGTTACGTAGCTATTATTGTACTTATAATACTGTACTGTTATTCTCTTATACAGTACATAATAATACAATTCTACTGTACTGGGACCGTAGCCCCTATTGTTACAGGACTGTTCTACTGTACTGGGACTGTAGCCCCTATTGTAACAGGACTGTTCTACTGTACTGGGACTGTAGCCCCTATTGTAACAGGACTGTTCTACTGCACTGGGACTGTAGCCCCTATTGTAACAGGACTGTTCTATAGCCTGTTGGAAAATGACTCTTGGGGAGCTGCTTTAATAAGAGTGCTCCTCCAGGAAAACGTGTTTCCATGAAATATAATCAGAATCCCTGAGAGAGTGATTGATTGATAGATTGATAGATCTGGGCAGACAGGGAGCGTGTGCATTAAAATATGGTAATTGCCAGTGTCAAAACACACAACACAAACAGCAAGGGATGTGGGTGAGAGACAGGGAGGCTCACTGTCACGGGGCTGCTAACTGCTGGCTGGGGCTGTCTGAAGGGGATGCCTGCAGGGTAAGAGAGCTGAGACACACACTCGGGGGTAATGATGTGTGTCTGTGTGTGTGCCGCACGTCTGTGTGTATATTTGTATGTGTGAGTGTGTCTCCCCACTAAGCTATGCTGTCAATGTCAGTTTACGGCATTAATTAACATAATCAGACAATTTCCCTATAAATTAGATTTAATTAACATTAATAACTCTCTAATTCTTTGCGGATGCCTCTTCACCTCCAAAACACTTGGGAGCACACTTGGGAGAATTTTTAAAGGCAAGAACTTGGGGCTGCGCACTGCAGGGGGCTCCTCAGCCGTTCAGAAAGAAACACAGACACACAGGCGAGGTCAGGCGAGGTCAGGTGAGGTCAGGTGAGAACAGGCAAGGTCAGGCGAGGACAGGTGAGGTCTGGCGAGGTCAGGTGAGGCCAGGCGAGGTCAGGTGAGAACAGGTGAGGTCAGGAGAGGTAGAGTGAGGCCAGGTGAGGTCACTTGTGCCTCCCAGGTGGGCCTGCTGGTGCAGAATGAACACTGTGTGTCTCCCAGGTGGGGCTGGTGGTGCAGTATGGCTGCTAGATGTCAAACCAGGTGGGGGCAATAATTTAGGACTGGGGTGAAGTGGGTCCCCTCTTACATGGGACGTACTTTGGAATCCTGTAGAATTAACCATCTACTGCCATTCCTCCAGTGCTGTATGGAACTCTTGCCCTGCAGTGCAACATATTGTATGAATTTGTGAATGCTTTTGTGTTATTTAACTTTTTGCCCTTGTGAGTACAGCAGTCCTGAACTAATTAATTAAAATAAGAATGTTGTAATGTATTTTAATAAGAATGTAAATGAGAATGAATAAAATAAGAATGCTGTAATGTATCTAAGCCACAGAGAATCAGAGACGCGAACAGACAGAGACACACTACGTGTGCAGAGGGCTGACCTCGATGTCCGGCCGGGCCAGCAGGAGGGAGATGTTCGTGCTGTCCTCTCTGGTCAGGATGGCCACAGCCTCCTCCCGATTCTGGACATCCATGCCATTGATCTGAGAGAGAGGACAGCGCTGAATATTTCCACGGCGTGAGCAGGCCCGATAGCACAGCTCTATCACCCTGCGGCTCCCAGCTGGCAGCCCACTGAAACTCAGCAGGAGTGAGCCTGGCCAGTACCTGGATGGGAGACCCCCCGGGAGAAACTAAAACTGATGCTGGAACCAGTAGGGGGTGCTCACCTTCTATGGGTAGATCTTGATGCCACAGTACAGGGATGGGGCTTTTTTTTTTACTGGAAAAAAGACACTGTCCTTTGGATGAGACGGAAAACAGAAGTCCCAACTCTCCTTTGTCATTAATAATCAAGGGCCGTTTCTCAGAAAGAGCATGGGCAATAATGAAGGCCAGGGGGAAATCTGGCCACAGTCGATCTGGCGGTACCTGCAGTATCCTGTCACCCTCTCGGATTCGCCCGTCTTTGGCCGCGATGCTGTTGGGGTTCACCTGGGGAGAGACGCGCGGGAGAGAGTGTCAGGCCACTGAGCACCGTCTTCCCTCCACTAGGGGGCACTCCTACCTTTTCCGCTGTGTCCCTGCCGTTATTAGTTTCACCTGAATCTTATTCCCTCTTAACTATTTAAGCCCAGTGCCTCCGCAGCTCAAGGCTCAGCACTGGGGGCAGGAGTGGCCCGAGGACACAGGCTTCGTCACAGCGTCCTGACCCCTGTGCCCGGGGCTCAGAGCGCCTGGCTCCGTGATGGTTTAAACCCTCTACGTTTCTGGATTCCTGTTCCCTGTGTTTGCCTGGATGGATCTCCCGGTTCCTGGACCCCGGGCTGCGCCTGATCTCCCCCCTTTCGGACTTCCCCTTCTGGACTAGTTCGTTTGGTAGCCAGTGGTGTAGCTCGTTCCACACCCCCACAGCCTGTCACGATTGTCATCCCTCCTCCAGAGGGCGCTCCGACCCTTTTGTGTTTGAGTTTCAGCATCACGTTCACCTGTCCCCCTGTCCCGTCTATTATTTAAACCTCTTGCCTCTGAAGCTCGGGGCTCTGCACTGGAAGACGGACGCCCGAAGGCCCGCCCAGCATCAAGTCGCCCTACGTCCGCGGATTGAAGGCATAGGCCTCCGATCGGCGTCCTGACCCAGCTGAGTCCGGGGCCCGGAGTGCCTGGCCTCGTCACTCCATTTTTAGTTTCCTAGTTCCATGTCCCCATTCCTGTTTTTAATCTTCTTGTCTTGTTTGAATCCCCTGGTTCTGGATTTCGGACTGCGCCCCGGATTTCCTGCTTGGACTGTTTTGGACTTGTTTGCCTGCGCTCCCCAATGCACCCGGATCACTGTCGGCGCCGCCCCCCCGGTTCGCCATCCCTTCCATTCCTCACCGCGTTTTCCCTGGAGCCCTTCTCCAGTCTCTTCCGGATTATACCGTCTGCACAGGGTCCTAAACTACACACTTCACGGGAGTCTGGTCTCGGTCTTAGATGCACTTCCACACACTCTTTCCACCTGTGCTGTCTGGTTGGCGTTTCACCGTTGGATCTGAAGAAATCCACTGGGTTGGTTCTGTTGATGCCTTTCAGGATCCCTTCATGGTTTTCTCCCCCAATGAGACCTTGTTGGTATGTTGTTGATACCCTAACATTTTGTTTGCCTTCATTGTCTAGAAGTTGTAAATGATGGGTCAAGATAAACATGAGTCTTAAGTGTACACTTAAGTTACTGTTTTGTAATGTGCATTGCGTGTAAATGTTGTTTATTGTACACGTCCAGAGACAACAGCACGAATATGAATCCCAACGTACATGTACATTTGGCAAAACAGACTCCTCTCTCTTCACACACACAGTGTAGACGCACTCTTACAAATATACATACAGAAAGAGAGACTGACCTCCCCCACGTAGATTCCCAGGTCCTCCTCGTCATCCGTGCGGTAACACACGGTCAGCCCCAGCTTGTCCTGCTGGCTCGATTTGTACAGCTCCACCTCCTGGAAGGAGGACCACATTACAGCAAGAGCGTGAGGGCGAGGAGTGAGCGTGAGGAGAGTGGGAGGGAGCGCGGCAGAGAGGCGAGATGGCGAAGGTCGCGCGCGGGGGGGAGAGAGATGGATAGGGAGGGAGGGAGGGAGGGAGGGAGAGAGAAAAAGAGACCGCCCCCCGCCCCTGACCTCATACTCCAGCTCGTCCTGCCTGTCCACTTCGTGGTGGGAGCTGTCCAGGTAGTCGTTGGGGTCGTAATACTCGTGCTCTAAGGCGGGCCTGTGGGCAGACACACAGACAGGGCTCAGGCGCGGGGGTACCCGGGCCCGCCCCGACACACCACAGACAGAACCGCACACGGGGACTCACAGCTCGGACAGCACGTAGGGCTCCAGCAGGGGCGGCAGAGGCGGGGAGGGAGGCTGCAGCTTGCCCAGGGCCAGGATGTGCTGAAAGCTGATGTCAGTCTGGGTGCCATTGTCCACAAAGTCCAGGGCTGGAGCGGGACCCCCTTGACCCCCTGTGCCCCCCGCGGCCCCCCCCTTCACCCGCGGGCTCTTCCTCAGGACCTGGATGACCAGGGGGTCCCGGGACGCTCGCAGTGCCTCCAGAGTCTGCTCCTGGGACAGGCGCGACAGCTCCTTCCCGTTCACCTGGGGCAGGGGGAGAAGGAGCCATTAACGCACGCTGCCTGAGATCGGAGGGAGCAGAGGGGTTAAAGCACACAGCGGCATAAAAGCATAAAGTGATCTAATGTACTGTAGAAAAGGAAAGGCGTAACTACTGGACAGTCCAGTGAGCATATCTCCCGAGTGCTGGGGACACCCTGACTCTGTGCGAAGCTCCCCTTCAGCAGACTGACAATCTGCCAACCTGAGTGAAGACTGAGTTTTCTTCGACACAAAGAAACAGAGAGGGACTAGTACACGCGTAGTGCCCCCACAGTGCACATCTGCAGCACTGAACACCAGAGTGCCAGGTTTTAATGGCCCTCTGTTCTGGCTGTGATTGGCAGAGTAAGCCCTGGCTGATTCTTAACCTAAGGCGGTTTAGTGTCCTATTCAGACAAAGACCTGTAAATGGAGCCCGTGTCCTTGTTAACAGGTCCCACTCTCAAAATCCTCTGCACCACGGTCTGGCACAGGGGGGGCATGTGAATTCGGGAAGAGCCGAGGGCTATCTGCAAATGGCCACTGGCGCCAGCTACAGTCTAGCATCTGTGGGCTGGTGTGTGCTGCACCAACAAAAGAATTAGTGCAGGTGAAGAAGATTATTTAAATGAATCCTGTTAGGAATGTTTGTGTCCTCCCACTGTGCGCTCGCTGCCTAGTCTATCGGGATGCTATAACCGCTCCCTGTCCCACAGAGCACATCAAGGGCTTTGAGCTCTGTGGCTCCTGTCGTTTAACCTGGCCTCGGCTAATCCCGTTCATTCCATCAGAGCGGCTTTCTCTTTGTTCCAGGCCCTGTCGCTCCAATTATCACTGCCTGCCTGCCAGGAGGAAGAGCAGGAAAGGGGGGATTATAATTAGGGATTAGCGAGCATTAATCTCCCAGCTCAATCAGATTACACTGACAGGGGG